CCCGTGGAGACGCTGTGCAAGGGCTTTCCCGCGGAGTTCGCCGCGTACCTCAACTACACCCGAAGCTTGCGCTTCGAGGACAAGCCGGACTACAGCTACCTGAAACGGCTCTTCCGAGAGCTCTTCATTAGGGAGGGGTACCACGTGGACTACGTGTTTGACTGGACGCTGAAGCGCATCCACGAGAACCTGAAGGCGGAGGGGTCCGGCCAGCAGGAACAAAAACAGCAGCAGCAGCAACAACGAGAGCGGGGGGATGTAGAGCAGGCGTAGCCCACCTGCACAGTCCGGGACCCTTGTTCCGCGTAATGTTTGTACGACGTCTTTGGACGTCCCACACGCTCCATTGTTGAACATATCACTAATTTTGGGAAATGAACATTCTACTCTTGCTTTGAGCACGAGGAGGTGCGTGCACGGTGATGTGTGGTGGCAGTTTAGGTGAATAGAAAACTCCCGCTGTCTCCCTTTTTGCCCTGTGTGCCTTACTCGGCGCTCTCTCCGTCGTGCTTTTGAGGCCTTCTCCGTACGCGTTACCGTCCCCATGCTACAGTTTATTGATGTTTGCGCCCTGTCGCCCACCACGCCAGCGGTGACGACGCGGCGATTCGGCTCTCTCTTTGTGCGAAGAAAGGGGGGACCCGTCGCATGAGCGGCGTGCCGTGCGGGGGGTCGCCCCTCTCCCTGCCCCCGCCAAAAAAATGGGCCCTGCTTTTCTTTCTCTTCTTTTGTTGCCGGCAAGGTAGGAGTGAACGTCACACAAACACCTCACGCAACACACGATGAGCTTAGAGCTTCGAGTGGGTAACCGCTTCCGCCTCGGCCAGAAGATAGGGGCGGGGTCGTTCGGCGAGATCTTCCGCGGCACAAACATACAGACGGGCGAGACCGTGGCCATCAAGCTGGAGCAGGCGAAGACGCGCCATCCACAGCTCGCCTTTGAGGCCCGATTCTACCGCATTCTCAACGCAGGCGGCGGGGTCGTGGGCATCCCCAACATTCTTTTTTATGGCGTGGAGGGCGAGTTCAACGTGATGGTGATGGACCTGCTGGGGCCCTCGCTCGAGGACCTCTTCAGCTTCTGTGATAGGAAGCTGTCGCTGAAGACAACGCTGATGCTGGCGGAGCAGATGATTGCGCGCATCGAGTTTGTCCACAGCAAGAGCGTCATCCACCGCGACGTGAAGCCGGAGAATTTTTTGATTGGCATGGGGAGGAAGTTGCACGACGTCTACGTCGTTGATTTTGGTCTCGCCAAGGAGTTTTTCGACTCCTGCACGCACCAGCACATCCCGTACAAGGAGGGGAAAAGCCTGACGGGAACGGCACGGTACTGCTCGATCAACACGCATCTTGGCATTGAGCAGAGCCGTCGCGACGACCTGGAGGGCATCGGCTACATCCTGATGTACTTCTTGCGTGGCTCACTGCCGTGGCAGGGCCTGAAAGCGCACACGAAGCAGGAAAAGTACTCTCGCATATCCGAGCGCAAGCAGACAACGCCCGTGGAGACGCTGTGCAAGGGCTTTCCCGCGGAGTTCGCCGCGTACCTCAACTACACCCGAAGCTTGCGCTTCGAGGACAAGCCGGACTACAGCTACCTGAAACGGCTCTTCCGAGAGCTCTTCATTAGGGAGGGGTACCACGTGGACTACGTGTTTGACTGGACGCTGAAGCGCATCCACGAGAACCTGAAGGCGGAGGGGTCCGGCCAGCAGGAACAAAAACAGCAGCAGCAGCAACAACGAGAGCGGGGGGATGTAGAGCAGGCGTAGCCCACCTGCACAGTCCGGGACCCTTGTTCCGCGTAATGTTTGTACGACGTCTTTGGACGTCCCACACGCTCCATTGTTGAACATATCACTAATTTTGGGAAATGAACATTCTACTCTTGCTTTGAGCACGAGGAGGTGCGTGCACGGTGATGTGTGGTGGCAGTTTAGGTGAATAGAAAACTCCCGCTGTCTCCCTTTTTGCCCTGTGTGCCTTACTCGGCGCTCTCTCCGTCGTGCTTTTGAGGCCTTCTCCGTACGCGTTACCGTCCCCATGCTACAGTTTATTGATGTTTGCGCCCTGTCGCCCACCACGCCAGCGGTGACGACGCGGCGATTCGGCTCTCTCTTTGTGCGAAGAAAGGGGGGACCCGTCGCATGAGCGGCGTGCCGTACCGTGTGCCTTCCATGACCGGGCGACTTATGGTTCTTAGTAGTGCGCTATTATGCATCTTTACTCTGCGGGGATCCACTCTTGTTATTTATTATTATTAGCACTACTGTTTTCTATGTGAGTGTTTTTTGTGGTGGTATATGTCTGTTCCGTTGTTGTTTGATTTGTGAGGCGATTTTTTCTGGTGTATCGTTTTCTGTTGTGTTTTTCATGAGTAGGACGCTGTGTTGTGCGTTATTTATTTATTTTTTTTTTTTTTTTTTTTTGGTGTATGCGTCTCTGTTTGATTTTTTTTTTTATTTATTTGTGTGTTTTTCTTGTCGTTGCTTTTGATTTTATGCATTGGGTGATTTTTACCTTTTGCTGTATCCTTTTTGTTGTTGTTGTTGTTTTTTGCATGGCTTTTGTTTGTGTCTGCTGTTCAAATGTGTTATTCTTTTTTTCTTTTTTCTTTTTTTTTTTTTTAATTGCGTGCATGCATGTGGTTGTGTGTATTATGCGTGTCGACGGTTATTATTATTATTATTATTATTATTTTAATACAACGCGTAGGGTTCTATCTTGTGTTGGTTTACTGTTTTCGCTGCTGCCGCCGCTGCTGCTGCTGCTGCTTCTGTAAAGAGAACAGCAAAAGAGATTTAGGAGATCCAATACAGAAGGAATTAAAGAAGAATAAGTAGAAGGAATATTTCTTTTTTTTCTTCTTCTTTTTTTTTTTTTTCTTCCCTTTTTTATTTATTTATTTGTTGTTGTTATTGTTTTGTCTGCGATAGAGAAGGATGACGAGCATGCATTGCACACTGGTACCAACTCCTCCACCGCCGTTTTATGGCGTTTGCATGGAAGACACCATGTCGCTTGGGTACGCGTGCGCTTCCGGTGTGGAAAGCGACATGGCCGCAAAACCTATCTTGGCAGAGCGCTACAAGACAAAGTTTTGTCGCAACTACGTGCTAACCGGCATATGCCCCTACCAGAGACGTTGCATGTTTGCACACGGTGATCACGAGCTTCGTACACCGGAAATGAACATACGTGATGGGCTCGTGACGGAAGAAGCTATTCGTCTCTTTCGGCGTCAATTTTTATCCGATATATGTGCATTTGACAGGCTTCGCCGACGGGGGTTTCCGGCACCGCCGTATTTCTACCACGCCATGGGTGTTTGCATGTCGGACTGTGGGGTACCAGTGAGGATGGCACCGGCAAAAATTTATACGCACAATCCCTATAAGTCCGACATCATTCCGTTGCAAAACCGTCTGTATAGTCAGCCGCCCGCTTTGGCGATGATGACAGCTGCGACGGTGATGCCACAATATTATGAAGAAGGGACGATGTGCCGCAGCAGCTGTGATCCCAGTGAACATCAAGATGACTTTGAGCCCTGTGTTGAAATTGTAAGTTCACCCCGCTGTTACGCATGCAATGAAAGTGATGACGCTGAACCCTCCGCGTGCAGCAGCATTGGCAGCGACTCTGAGGACAACCGACAGTCAACACCCTGCAAGGAATACATCAATGAGTCAATGCCTTCTGAGGAGGTGATGAGCGGGGAGGCGGCATTGCAGTAAATCTTCGATTTTTTTGGGGCGGGTCGTGTTTTTTTTTTTTTTTTTTTTTTTTTTATTCCTCTCCTTTTTTTTTTTTTCTTTTTTATTCCTGCCCTTCTTTTCTTTTCTTTTTTTTTCTTTTTTGTTTTTTGCCCTTCCCGCAATGTCACCTCCGATGCTTCCGGGTTTTTTTGGGTTTTTTTTTCTTTTTTTTTTTTA